TTGTTATGAAAATAAATATGGTTAAACGTTTATAGACATTCTGTTGATTTTCAGGATAGTAAAACATTTTTCACTATTTATTTAAAACAAAATGAACAATACACATGTTCATAGGTAGCTATATTTGTTCTATAAGATATTAGTATTAGGTATATTATATTTTTTAACACAACGTTCTTTATTCAGTTTCTTCTGTTTTTTTCCAGGAGAGAAGAGCGTCTAATAGTATTTCAACCACGTTATAAAGATATACATGATTGACATTCCTTTTATTGTCTGACCTGTAAAACATTTCTCATTATGTATTTTTTTATATGACAAACTTAGTGTGGTTGAAATATTATTATACATTCTTCTTGTTCTTAAAAAATCCTAAGGGACTGAATAAAGAATGTAGTATTAAAAGTATAATAGGCTTAACACTAATGTGTTATGACAAGTATAATTAATTATAATCAAGCTTCGCCAGCTTGTAAAAGGCGTTCACACCACAATAATATATACATATATATGTTCAGTTATAAACAAACGCGTCTTGCTTAGGTGTTTCTGGTCATTAAAGATGATTAGTTGCTGTTTTTTTGTTTTTTTTTGGCACGTAAAATTTTAACTCCCTTATGGCTTTTCCACGAAAATAAAAGTACGTAATGCATGTATGATTATGAACAATAAATGAGTTGGTTCTATTGGATTGATTTAATTATCTATTTTAATTATATAATCAGTCAATAATAGCTCAAATGTAATGAGAATAGTCAAAAGATTGATTTAAAGTAACCATTCACATAGAACGAACGCGTTTAAAAGTAAAATTAAATAGGTTAACTAAGTTTTTATTTTCAGTGTCGGATAAACATAAAGGATCGTGAAAATAATTAAAGTAAGGTGTTATTTAATCTGAAGTTATAGAACCACATGGAATGACTTTTCATTAGATTGCCCATATAATTCCGGGTTGAATTACATTTTTCCGGTTGCGAATTGGTTGGATCGTAGCACAATCTCCATAAGATGACAAAAGTTGTCTTGTATTATTGTACCTTATTCATTGAGGAGTCTTGTCTACAAGTGGTTCTCTTATGTTGATAAAAGATTACATTTAAGTTAATCGCGAATAAAAATGACCGAAGTTATCGTTATACTCTTCGAATTAATTTCAAATGTTACAGTGCAGTGGATTGGTGGAAGGATTCTTTTCAATTAGGATAAGAATGAAGTATTTGGGGTAGGATAAGATAAGCAAAAACGTTCAGGTACGTTTCGAAACTATTCGTTTTTCATGGGCGACTGCAGCCCAGTGGCTAAAGTTCCAGAATGTGGAGCTAAGATTCCGTGGTTCGCATCCTGTTACCATCAATAAAACAAATAAATAAATTCACTTTCCTCCCATTGGAGCCTTGGGTGCGTCATAAGAGTAATGGTGAAATCTTATTATTCGGTTTGACAAGAGTAGCTCAAGAGTTGGCGGTGTGTGCTGTTGATTAACTGTCTTTTTCTAGTCTATCACTGCAGAATTAGGGGCGGCTAGTGCAAACAACATACATACAAACATATAAATCGTGTTTCTTATCAAAGGAGAGAACCGAAACCGTGTATAACAATGTTCCCTACCACTTCCAACAGCTTGCACTGTCGAAACAAAACAAACAGGATCAAATGGGACAAGTGATGTTCTCCATATTTTTAATCTATCATCGGCACAGAAAAGGCCGGAAATCATCAGACCAAACTATACACTTCAAGTAGTTTGTTGTATAGATCTCAGACTATTAAAACCTTGCTTTCTTTTTTATATCTTATAAATTAGTATCCGAGCTGGAATGTCGACTGCGATATGACAATTTCCCTACATTATTTCCCCATGAAATCGGTCAATTAAGATGTAGTCCACGTTTTGTGTACTTTAACAGCTTTTCTAGTTGTTGTTTTTTCGGCCATTCGCCAGTGCTGGTTCTTAAAGTTCTCTCTCATGGCAGATGTATTATCTTCCGATTACCACTCTTGACAAACTCGAATTATAGATGTTTTTGAACAGCTGATAAAAAAAGCATACTATAATAAAAACATTTCTGTCAGATGGGCTACGACTATCGCTCTCTACTCTGAAAGTCGGAGTAATCTCTGCTCTTGCCTATTGTTTTGCAGACAATCGAAAATGTGACTACATATTTCTATTTGTAAAATTGAAGCAGTCGCCTGACAAATTCTATTATATTTTTCTTACACATACATATAAAGGCAATCTCCTACAAATGGTGTCAGTTTAAAAAGAATCTGTTAGTTAGGGATCAGATTTCTGTCACATAATATCAAGCTTACATACGTCCCATCCAAGTGAAATACGACACTACTTTAGTGGAAACAAACACCTCCTGAATTGTAGAGTGTTACTTTGTTAGACTATACTGATACATGAACGATAAATAGTATCCCATTTACTACCGTGATAATAAAAAAATATTGTGATAGTAAAATATTGGAGTATACATTGCACGATGTTTGTAAGCATTATTATTGTCTAACAACGTATAATTCCACAAGCTAAGTTGGTGTAGTATTTTGATCACTGAAATTCTTATTGTAGTCCAAGGTTGTTACACAATAGGTTGGTATAGTATCTTTGTTTACGTATTGTTGTCGTATAACAATACAAGAGAGCATATTATTGTTTATACTGGGGTATAAACATTAGACGGTAACACTGCAGGATTATTTAGTATTGTAAATATATACATATTTGTATTGGTGTTGTTTAACGCTTGGGGACTCAAAATGACATATTTTCTTGTATGAATACGTAATATGTTAGCTCCACAAAAACTAGCAGATTTTATTACCAAATTCATGTAAAGCGTAATTTTTCAAGCTCCATCATTTAAAATAAAGTTGTTATAAGATGATCATTCTGCATATACATGTGAAGATCGGACCAAGAACTTGAGAAGATCAACTTCCAGGTTAAAGGCCAAAAGATTATGCACACATGGAGTACTTTAATTCACAAAACATTTGGAGCGTATGATACATGCAAATATGACATCCAAGAACACACAACACTATCGGAGTGCACAATACATTCCTTATGTGCGTACCACTGTAGTCCAGAAATGTAGGATTCTACAGTTTAGATAATGTAATATTATACATCTGAGTAATGATACATCTAATAACGTTGTATGGCGTAGTGTCACTTTGCCCAAGTGCCACTACAGTCCAGCTATGCAGGATTCAATAATCCTATATCGTGTACTATTACGTAACTGTATATTTCTGTGGTACAACAGTGATGAAACGTGACGAAGTGTCATGTATGAATGTATTAATACAGTTTAACACTATCAGATGCTGTTGTTACGATATATATTGCGCGTTAAACTATTACAGTGATTATGCATGTTCAACTATAAATAATTTTAAGCTTTATTTTTACATAATTATGTAAATATTGTAAAAATTAATTTGTAAAGTTCTCAGCCATCTTGGTGTTTCTTTTACATTTCATTTAAAAAAATCAGCGAATATATTTCCTATTTAATTGATCCTTGTTGTTATAGGAAAGTTATTTTGCGTGGTTCTTTCGAGAGATCGACTGCAGTAAATCCAACAAATGTACGTAACACATACAGTTGAATGGGAAACATTAAAGCCATCCTTCAAAGTGTCTGTACTTATTTCCCCTTAGCTATACTCGGCTATTGTTAAACGCATGAAATTCCCTTCATTGTTTCGTGATCTGTTTTGTAGCCATCTGAAAAATTCTCCCCTCCCGTGATATTTCAAACGTTAGCTTCTAACGCAGCTGTTTAGTAAGATACTTTTTTAATCAAACTCCGTCAAGTAGGTTTCGAAAGACACTTGGAATATTATTTATTCACGGAAATCTCTAACACGCTGCTGTTATTTTGGAAATTCAGACTTAAAATATCAAGACTTTTTAGTATAAATATTTCTTGTCAATTCTATGTTATTGGCTGTGTGTGTGAGCCAGTGGTTAGGGAGCCTGGACTATGAATCCGAGTTGAATGTTGCCACAAAAACTCACTTTGCAATTTGGGCCATGGGTGCGTCAAGAGAGCAACAGTCAAAACCCACTATTCGATCAGATAAGGGTTGTCCAAGAGTTGGCGGTGGTGATATTGACTAGATGCCTTCCTGTACTCTATCAGTTAGAAAATTAGGGATTGCTATGCACAGATAACCCTTGTGTAATTTTGTGCACAAATTCTAAAACAAACAGTGCCGTGTTTTCACAAGTGCCAAATTTTCACGAGCTATAGCACTTTGAAGTGTATATTTTCAAACAACTATCTTTCCTGAACTGATGATCAGATTGCGTCTCACTGTAACCAATAGACAACCATAAAAGAAAAAAAAAAGCAGTTATGGTTTTGAGAAAAAACACAGCACAAAAATCAAAAGATATTAACGCAGTTTCTTTCTTGCAAAAACATCAACTGATTGAAATGTAAAATATGCACCTTAGAAATGAGGAGGCACTAATACATCCTTGTTTTTACGGAATAATTATTCTTGGTATCTACCATACGTATAAATATTTCTGAGGATTAGAAGCACCGGTATCACTGTATTTCCCTCTGGTGTTAATCAGAGGAATTAAATGAGTTTCATGTAAGTACTATCAGTGAATCAAAGGTATCAAACATATTGATTTAAACACCTACACACTACAAAATCGATGACAAACATGTATTACAACACTTTTAATTAGTTATAGTATTTTGGCACTTGTGTATAAGGATGATGTTTCTGATTTTAGAAAGTCCTTATAAAACAGAGTTATATAGAGATTTCTTTTATCTATTGTTGCAGAGAAATTTGTGGAAAAAACAATAAGTCCTGGACAACTGATCGAAGTAGTTTCCAGTTCATCCTTCTCCTTAGAGAAAATTACAGCTCCAGAGAAATTAACTTTAGAAGACGAAGATACTAATATAGTATATAACAGTGAAGATGATATTACGATCAGCACTGACCGTATCAAGCGAGAAAACGAACCCAGTAGTTCCGGCAGTAAGGGCGACAAAAACTGCAGATCTAGTCACGGTAGCAGGAAGATGAAACAGGAGAACCCGCAGGTTCTTCCCAGCTGTAACTGTGAGGAACTCAAGCGAGTCCATGCTTATCTAGAGACAAAGGATTTGTGGGAAAAGTTTCATGAACTAGGAACAGAGATGATTATCACTAAAACAGGACGGTGAGCTATTATTTCTTTGTGTGTAAGAAGTTAGAGTGTGGTTTAATAACTTATATTTACTGTTTACAAAACCTAAACGCAACGATGCGTTCCCATTCATTATTTTCATACTAACCTCACACCTTTGGGCGCATGTTCCGGCTGTTCGTATACATAATGTAAATAACCCGAACGTTGTATATGCTTGCGAGAAATATCACTAATTGGTTGTAAAGTAAAGTAAAGCTCACTTTTCATTTTCAGCAGTAAAAAAGCATTAAATTCCATTGTTGTACAATATTACTTGGATATATAAAAGAAAAGAGTCGTGTTTGGGTAATGCCAACCTCACATCTGTTCAAAGTGTAAGACAGCAAGTGAATCATTAAATTTCATTATTATATTATTTGCTATAACACAAAGTATAAAGCAAAATTGTGTGCGAATAATTAAATCTTATTATGATATTACTTGTTATTATACAAGTTGTATAATAGAATTTCATGGAACGTAAGTTTTAATATCACACCTTTTGTTCTTATAAATGTAGGATTATTTATGGTTTTTTTTTCCAGTTGATTTTATGGTACGACTGGCTCTTTAAGAATCACCCGTGGATAATTTGAAATGACAATCCAATCGGCCCGGCATGGCCAGGTGGATAAAGCGCTCGAATCGCAATCTGAGGGTCGCGGGTTCGAATCTCCGTCACACCAAACATGCTTGCCTTTTCAGCCGTGAGGGCGTTATAATGTGACGGTCAATCCCACTATTCGTTGGTAAAAGAGTAGCCCAAGAGTTGGCGGTGGGTGGTGATGACTAGCTGCCTTCCCTCTAGTCTTACTGTGCTAAATTAGGGACGGCTAGCGCAAAAAACCACTCGTGTAGCTTTGCGCGAAATTCAAAAACAAACAATCCTTCGAAGCCTAAATCTAGTGCAATAATGCTGTGTTTTATAAAATGGGCTTTAGATCATTTATTAACGTTTAAGGTAGATTGTTAATGTTTACCTAAACTGGACTTATGATACTCAACTCGTTATATCTTAGTAACATATATGATTTATTTTGCGTGCGGTTTGATATTAAGAACGTTTTTATGTACAAACAGAATACTATCAGATGTGTTTTTTAAACAAATATTTACTTTGGAAGCCAGGCAAACCAAATCTATAGAGGATGTGAAAAATAAGTGCCCTTTTATCAAAATATTATACAAAAATCACATATCGATTTTTTTGTACGTTGGAAAAGTCTCAACAGTTATGAAATTAAGTTTGTTTATTTTAAATTTCGCGCAAAGCTACACGAGGGCTATCTGCGCTAGCCGACCCTAATTTAGCAGAGTAAGACTAGAGAGAAGGCAGCCAGTCATCATCACCCACCGCCAATTCTTGGGATATTCTTTTACCAACGAATAGTGGAATTGACCGTCACATTATAACGCCCCCACGGCTGAAAGGGCGAGCATGTTTGGTGGGACAAACAAACTAACATTCTTCCTGCTGTTACAAATGATATTCACACTAATATTAGTATTTTATGATTAGGTAATTGTAGTAAAGTTATTTTGATGATTGCCTAAAAACTTTTAGTTTAATTACCGTCAATGTTAAACTTCTATAGTGCTATAATTAATATTTTATAAGATGATATAAACCCTATAACCCAAGCGCTTTCGAAAGGGGGATCTTTCTTTTTCAGGGGCAACTGGAAATGGTGGTGTAACTGAATGGGTGATATATAAAGGGAGTTGAGTGACGTAATGAAGGTCACTTGGGCTTCCAGGAAGTGTTTTTGTATATCTTTCAATGTATTGTAGTGTGTCTCATTTCCGGTGCAACACGTGTGGAAACGAGAGCGTTGTGACAAAAGTGTTAGAGATGTCTTGTTTTAGATATGGTTGAATAGTATTCAGATTAGCAATCAAATAAGCTTTATTTATCTCTTTAGTTTTAAAGTCGGTTTCATTGTCGATGAGAGTAACATCATTAATAGAATGACGGGATTGGTTGAAGTGTTGAGCAACAGGAAGATCTTTTCAGGCGTTAAAAGAAGACTTCTGGTTGTTGGAACGTTTTCCAAGAGCTGTTTGGTTCTGTCCTACATACTGGTGATTTCTTTTGAAATGTTAAAGTTTCTCTGGTTGTACTTGTCAGAAAAAGCCAGTAGTTTTTATGAATTTGTTGTTTGACAACGAGCTGTATTACTTGGATGACAACCGTGGGGTGTAATTCACTTTAGCATGAACAAGGAACATTACCTATAGTCAAGCTCTTAGAATTAGACAAATCTATTCAGATGAATCAGATTACAGAAAAGGATCTAAAACAAACCATGTTACAAAGAGGATATAAAGATACCGAAATTGACAGACAGATCGAAAAAGCTAACAACACTCAGTGGGAAAACATCTTAAAACAGAGTAATAGCAAAGTTTCAAATATAATTCCTCTTGTTATTATCTATCACTTTAAACTCAGAAACGATTCAAGTATTCTAAAAAAAAAAAGATTTTTATCTCCTACAACTGAATGATCGCTACAGATATTTCCTGAAGTTCCTCTTGTCTCCTTCCGGAAAAGCAGAAGTCTAAAAGATATCCTTGTTCATGCAAAAGTGAATTACACCCCTCCAAAGTAATACAGTAATACAGCTCGTTGTCAAACCTACGAGTTCGTAAAAACTACTGGCTTTTTCTGACAAGCATAACCAAAGAAACTTTAAATTGTTTATAGAAATCACTTGTGGAACATAAAGTATAATTTACTTTATACAATGATGTAGATGTATGTTTATGATCAACTTTTGACGCGTTCATCTACTTGTAAAAAATTTGTCCAAGACTGTAAAATATATTGTACATAATATTTTTGTAACTTAGATCAAAGACATACAGTTAGCCGTCTAATTAAAGACGGTTAGGATAGACACGTAATAAAGACCGACAGATAAATAAAAGTTTGCAGACAGCTTGAATGGATAATAAAGAAAACTTTATTATGAATTATGATAAAATTATGTCATCATCAGTGGGTTCTTCGTCATCAAATCTAAAGACAGATAAATAGTTATGCAGATAAGTAAACTGGTATAAGTTGACAAAAATATATATAAATAGTCGGATAACAAAGTAAGTCATATGTGTTTTATATTGATGTTATATGTGTTAATCAACGATATAAGAAAATTAAAATAATCTCCTGCATAATAAAATTGTTATTCAGCAACGAAACGACTTACCCTCCATAATAGTATACTATGTACGTTTCAGTTGTTCATATTTCAAGTATTCTAATTCATAACGAAGTTGAAAACTAAAATACATTCGATGTTAATATAGACGTTTGGTGGTATTCATGAAAGGTTTGCGATCGAGGAGAGGTGATCCAGCAGTGAAAATTACCGCGATCCCACGCTCGGTGCGTTTACATCGCCAAAATGTTTCTGCGAACTGTTACACGAAACATCGTCGGATATCATGTATTAAATATGAGTGGCGTATTCTGTGGTACAGCAAGCGATTTTATTCGTGATAGGAATCAAAATTACACCATTGATGTGTAATGCGTTAATATTTCACGTGGCACATTAGAATGAGAAGTAGTAAAACCACGTGCTATTTGAGATGAATTTTATACAGCGTTATAAAGTTATCAAGAAACAGTTCTCATGCAACGACTTAATGCTTAGAAGTGTCTACCGACCATGTAATGAGAGCCGACAGGCATTCTGGTTATGGTATAGCAAGTCAGAGACATTAATGCACACTTTAAACTTCTGGTCAGGCAAGTCTTGCTGATTAAGTTTAAATAAGTTTACTCGCTACAGGGGATTTGCCTTGTCTGCGCCCAGTATTTTATCCTTGTTAACTTCTGAGACATCTACTCCTCATTTCCCATCTGAATTTATAAAAATCACGTTGGTTTAAATTTATTTGTACAGTACATGTAAGATGTTGCTTCGGGTACTATGGATATACTTTCACTATGCTTAAGTTATTTTCTATTATTAAGTTAGGTTTTATTATTTAAATGATAATAAAACTTAAACAGCTGTAAGTAATGCCAAGTGGTAGCAAATCGTGTACGTAACTATAACGATATTAACGTCATGTGAGAACAAACGATGTAACTAACAATACTAATCTCAAGTAGTAGTAAACCGTGTACGTAACTATGACAGTTGTATTTAACAATATTATGAATATCAAGTGAAAGTAAACTGTGTATATAGCCAACAATATTAATTATAAGAGATAGTAAACCGTGTACGTAACTATGACAGTTGTATTTAACAATATTATGAATATCAAGTGAAAGTAAACTGTGTAATTAGCCAACAATATTAATTATAAGAGATAGCAAACCGTGTACGTAACTATGACAGTTGTATTTAACAATATTATGAATATCAAGTGAAAGTAAACTGTGTAATTAGCCAACAATATTAATTATAAGAGATAGTAAACGGTGTACGTAACTATGACAGTTGTATTTAACAATATTATGAATATCAAGTGAAAGTAAACTGTGTACTTAGCCAACAATATTAATTATAAGAGATAGTAAACCGTGTACGTAACTATGACAGTTGTATTTAACAATATTATGAATATCAAGTGAAAGTAAACTGTGTAATTAGCCAACAATATTAATTATAAGAGATAGTAAACCGTGTACGTAACTGTAACAATATTAACAAGTGAAAGTGAACTCTGTACATAGCTAACAACATTAATCTTTGTTGAAAGTAAATGACGTACGTTTAGTTCAGTATATTTTAGATATTCGCGCACAGCTACACAATGGTTATCTGCGCTAGTTATCCCTAATTTTTAATTTGATAGACAGGTAGTCAATAACACCCACCGCCAACTCTTTGGCTGCTCCACTCGTTACTAATAAATTTGACCGTCATTTCTGATCACTTGTTGTTGTTGTTTGTTATTAAGCACAAAGCTATACAAATGACTATCTGTTCTCTGCCCACCACGGGTATCGAAATCCGATTTCTAGCAGT